GCATACCCGGACTTCAACAACAAGTTTAGCTTAGCCACTGATGCTTCACAAGATGCTATTGGAGCCGTACTCTCTCAGTTGCAAGATGGTAATGACCGAGTGGTTGCTTTCTACAGTCGGAAGCTTACAGAGTCCCAGCGTAGATGGTCTACCTACGATAGGGAACTGTGGGCAGTTATCTCGTCCATCCGCCATTTCAGACATTATCTTAGAGGCCAAGACTTTAACATTCTCACTGACCATCGCCCTCTGTTGGGCTACAACAGTGTACCTATCCAAGACGATGCGACAGGAAGGAGAGCAAGATGGATTGTAGAGTTGAATGCATATTCTTTCACCATAACTCACAAGAAGGGCACTGCACATCAAAACGCTGATGCAATGTCGCGCATGCCGGAAGATGTTACATACCCTGTTAGTATGGTGAACACACGCTCCTCTACCACTCAACCAGTCCAGGAATCAACCGTTCCAAAGTCATCCAACTCTATGGCTGATAAAGCTCCCAAGAACTTTATCCTGGCTAGCCATCATGCTGATTTACAGTATCATCAGCAACACGATAAAGACATTCAGAGAATAATCAAGTACATCAAGGAAGTCCGTCATCCAACAGTGAGAGAAGTCCGGCGACAATCACCTCGTCTACGACGTCTCCTATGGCAACTCCCTCGTCTTGTACTAGAGAATGATCTCTTATACCGACGACGACAAGACAACTCAGGTTGTCCTCTCTTCAGGTAGTTGTGCCTGAATCTCTTATCCCTCAGGTCCTGCAAGAGATACATGGTAATCCATCCTCTGGACACTTCGGAGTTCAACGCACACTACGCAGGGCTGAATCTATGTGCTTTTGGCCATTCATGCACAAGGATATAACCGACTACTGCAGAACTTGTCCTGCTTGTGAGTCGATTAGATCTCCAAGTCCTAAGCACCAAGCTCCACTCCAGAGCATAAAGACCGATCACCCTCTGCAAATGGTTTTCGCTGATATAGCCGAGCTGCCTACTTCAAGAAGCGGGTACCACTATATTTTGGTTGTTGTTGATCACTTTAGTAAATACACCAATATTTACCCCATGCGAGACCAGACCGCCCAGACTGTGGCTGGACACTTATTCGAAGAATACATCAAGGAGCATGGAGTTCCTGAGTCACTACATACAGACCAAGGAAGACAATTTGAATCCAGACTAGTCCAGGATCTCTGCAAGAGGCTCGGCATTCGCAAATCTCGATCATCCCCTTACCACCCACAGGGAGCTGGCATCGTTGAAAGAGCGAACAGAGTTATCAAAGAACAACTTGCTAAGTACATAGCAGACCAAAGAGGTGACTGGGACAAGCACATACATCAATTGCAGCTAGCCTACAACACTAGTGTCCATACAAGCACTGGCATGACACCCTATTTCATCATGCATGGTCGTGAAGCACGGACCCCAGCTAGTGTCACTTGTCCTATCATGACTCAGTCATATGATTCTCCTCAAGAGTATGTCACTGATGTGTGTTCCCGGCTAAGACAGGCTTTCCAACATACCAGACAGAAGGCAGAACAAGCTCAACTCAGGCAGAAAAGGGACTATGATGCGTCAACTAGGACCATCAAGTATGCACCAGGAGATCTAGTTTGGTTACACAATCCCGTCAATGCTAGACGCAAACTGGAGCCCAACTGGAAGGGACCTTTCGTCATTGTCTCATCCTCACCAGATAACCTTAACTATCTGATAGCCGACATTCATGATGAAAGTGCAAAGAAACTAGTTCATCACAACAGACTCAAACTCTTCAGGTCTAGAGCTTTTCTACAAGGGAAAGGACCTTCTACTTCACGTCCTCCTTCAGGTAGTCAGAAAAGACCTGAAGTTATCCCTCCTTCCTCAAGTCCTCCTTCAAGTAATCAGGCAAGGCCTGACATACCTCCTTTGGCATCTCACTCTTCAATAGAGATGCCATGGTCAACTAACACTCCAACACAAGCTGATCAGTTCCGGCCGCCAGAAGACCTCCAGGTTCCAGCGGGTCAACAACCAATCCACTCTGAGTTAGGCAATTCTGACCAGCCATCTTGGTCAGAGGCGTCTAATGGACAGTCATCAACTCAATCCATACAACGGCAGACTCGAGAGCGACAGGTTAACTCCCCTGACCATTTCCATAGACCAGGGCCCTCTAGAGAAAACCCCGATGTCGACCCCGATGTCAACCCCGATGTCAACCCCGATGTCAACCCCGATGTCTACCCTGATGTCAACCCTGAGGTCAACGACCAGCAACACACCACTCAACCATCAACTGGTGCATCAGCGAACCAACGTACACCCCGCACTATGCAAGAGGACACCACGACGCAGTTAACTCAAACTCGCTCTGGTAGACGCGTTCACAAACCGCAGAAGTATAGCGATTACCAAATGTGACTATTATCCGATATCAAGAGGTATTGAACATTTCATTAGTCTGAAGTTGACATTTCCGTCAGAAGGAAAGAACGTTTCAACTGTCAACTTTCGGTTATGGAAGATTACGATATTGATTGGACTGTGGTCATGAATGACAGAGACATTCAGACTCATTCATGCTTTAAATGCTAAACTGGACTGTTTGATATATTTGTCTTTATGGACAGCAACAATTTTGAGCAATTTTGATATTGAATGGACTGTGAATTTCATGAGTTCTGTACGGGTCAGAACATCAGACTTATGGACTGAGAATTTCGAGCGTTAGACAAATAAGAATTGGAATGGACTGTAATTCTTTCTGCATTTCTCGCGAATTTTTGTTTGATTGCAGAACTTCTAAATTTGAGTTATATTTGTGTGTGTATTATTAATGTTTCATACAAAGCACATGGACCATTGTTAGGCATTTGTTGAAATATCTAGAATATATCGGTATATTTGTTAGTGTTCATCTATTGCGAGATACATTTTTTTTCAAATTTCTTCAATTGATGTCTAGTGATGGTTATGCTAGATTGGGTTTTCTTTGTTTGTATTCATAGCGTTTGAAATTCTTGAAGTAAAGACAAAACCAAGGAAAGATATGGATTTTCTTAATTTTTCATGCGTCTTGACGAAGTAAATGGGCAGTTGTTGATTGTCAAGAGAGAAATATCGTTGTTTTGGTAGTTGTTTTAAAAAAAAAAAGACGGACAGAAATAATGTGATTGATTATAGTCTTCGTGTGAGGGTATGTTTGTATTTTGTTTGGTCGATACAAATATTTTTGACAAAAAGAAAAGAAAAATATTACATTTGAATGTGACCACTTCTCATGCTTTATGTATTATTCAGAGGTACAAGGTTATTGAAGGGTACGAGATGTTTGACCTGATAATGTTTTTGTGGATTTAATCTTGCAAGTTACGAGTGACGAAGCAGACAGGCACGATCTCAGTTGGAAATGTTTTATATTTTGAGGGGTCATTTTGCTTAACCAAAAGCAAGGATACTGTTGAAAACTATTTTTCTGAAATGACTTATGTTTTATATTATGATAATGTGATATAATCACTTATGTCTAGTTTTTATGATGATAGGAATATGAATGTTATGTATTTGTATTTATGTACTGGATAGATTCTGGAAGATCTCAAATTTTCAAGTGATAGCATTTTGCATTTCTAGAAGGTAAAAAATAGAACGAAGTAATAATTGGTTGAAAGAATTATTCAGCTATAGATGATTTCATTTCCTTACCAATTGCTCAAAATAATGAGAGCGTAACAAATTTGGAACTGTATTTGGCTTTAGAACCAAAGGAAACGGCGTTTGAACAGAAAGTATTTTGTTAGGATTGTTACAACTTTTTGAGTCAATTGTTTTTTTTTTAGAAAGGCAGATACACTGTATTTATAGTTTCTATTTTACCATTGGAATCGGGAAGTGTTTCCCCGAGATAAAAGTAAAACAGATTGGAAGCGGGAAAGCTCGGATATATATAAAATCATGTGGTTTTTGCAGATTGTTGTTTTTCTTTTCAGCTTATACATGTATATTAAGCTAATACTCTGTACATTTGAGTCATAGGTCATTTATATACAAGTAAAATTCATTTGTTTTGTACAATTGTATACATATATGCTTACAGGTAGTAAGGTTTAGTTTTTCTTTTAAAGGGAAACAAAAGGATATATTGATGGTGATTCTCTGTTTACAAGAGGAAAGGATAGAAAATATCATTTTGAAAGATGTTTAATGTGTTAGATGTTTGGGTAATCAAAGAAAGGACAATGCCTTATAAAATGAGGACATTTTATTTGTAAGGGGAAGACTAGTTTGTAGGGATTTATTTTGAACTTCTGAAACTCCCCCTCATATCTATGATTCATCCCTTTCATATTAATAGGTCATCCCTCATTTACATTCACCCTTTTCATCCACCATCCTTTCATCTGTCTATCTCTCTTTCTCTCTCATTGGTTTCAATGTTCACCTGATGCAGTCAAGCTTATAGTATAATTTACATATACCATGAATATTCAATATATACCCTTTGTTTATGTTTGAATATTCAAGAATACTTTGTGATGCTGATTTATACTTGTATGGGACTAAATGAATATTTATTGGTTTCTTCTACTTTGCATGGAATGTATGTGGAATGCTACATAGAATGCTGTAATGCTTTGCTACATTAAAACCTGGTCAGTTAGCCAGGAGTTATCAATCGTACAACATGTCTGCTGGGCTGCCTCTGTGTACTTAAGAGTGCTAGGAATTAGTTAGAACCACAACCCTACACTAGGAACCCTGATTTAAAGCCCCACTGCACTAGTTTGGCCAGGAGGGATTATACCTCCCTGCATGGTCACTGACAGGGGGTTATCTCATCAAATCAGCTCTCAATTAACATAAGAAAAAGGGGATCATGGGGAACCAATAGTCACCGATTACATGTAGGTATTGTTTGCTATGTAGGGCGCAAGTAGCTGTAAGTAGTGCAGTGGGGCTTTAAGTGCAAGAAGAAATGAAAAAGAAACTCACCTTTTGGTTTTGGTGTGGCTGGATCAACAGGCGTCACAACGTCCACCTTCTGTTTGTAGCGTATGGTGTCCCATACACGCGTGGGATTGTTGGTTTCTGGGTGGACTGTGATCTCCTTGGATTGCTCGTCGGATTCTGGTTGCTTTGCCGACAAGCTCCGCCCACTGGCCCCTTTTAACATCCGCCTGAGAACGAGAAAAAGATTCACAGGATATGTCAAAGATCTAGGAAATTCTTTCCATTTATAGTGCTTCAAATGTAATTAAATTGAAACAAGGTGACATTTGTCTGCAACTTTACTAAAAAGGTTTTGAACCTCAACCATTGGAAACATTTTGTAGAGCTCTTTCAGGATTTTTTATTTGAAGAAAAGGGATCTAGCAGTTACATACATGTACATGTACATGTCATGTTTTGTTTTTCTAATTTAAATGCACAGCTCTTTCTCACATTTCTGAATTTAAATACTCTACACACCCAGTCACCCAGGTTCTATTTTTTATAGCAAAGGACAAGATTATTTATCAACATAAATGTCCAATACAACAATGTGTACTTTGTGGAGTCTTTTTTTGGACATTACAAAAAGTGAGTTATTGATATAGACAAATGCTCATGTACCCTATGGCCTATACATCATACATGTATGTTATTACCACTCAAAAGTGTCCCGACAGTAAATTTCACAGATCTATAGGACATACATGTGTACATGTACAAAGTATATAATCATAAATCCTGCAAAGTTCTACAGAATTTGATGTTGGCTGCAAATGGGACAAACTGTAGTACCATTAAACATATACTGTATGTGTAGAATAGAACTTACCTAAACGACATACTGAGTCAACTCTGCAAAGAAGCTTCAAGCAATAGCGGACAGATCTTCTTGATTCCAAGACGAGTTAAAATGACCAAAAGCACAGCAAAACAAGTTGGATCCTTCTTCTAATAGATAAGTTCTATTTGTGTTTGTCTTTTAACGGATTTAAGGCTCGTTCTCTAATTCAAATCTATGAATACATTCCAGGCAACTTTCTTTTATTTCACAGAATAAGTTGAAATTATCAATCCTGGTGATTGGAAGAAAATTTGACGTAAAGTTGGTTGCGGAACGCAAACTAAGCACTAACTAAATGGAGCTCCCCTGTGCATGTGCAGGCTGTGACTTTATTTCATGGGACCAAGCTAAAGTAACTAAGTAGATCTAAGTAGTGAGTGGTGAACTTCATTCAGATTTGTTTTCTTCTGCTGGCTTAAGCCTGCCGCCCTGGCCTTATTGTAATGGTCTATTTGGGACATTACACGCACAGAGTAAGACCAAAAGCATTCAAGCAGGAAATGTGACGTCCTTCCTTATTGTTGCACAACCATGGCATTACGAAATCAGTTCCTGGCCTGCCGAGTAATCTATACTGAGCTTACTGGCATGGCATGAATCATCAATAAACAATAGGGTCTACACGGTACACCCACATCTGCGATAAACGGCTCACAGTCATCTGCTACGCCGGTTGGCCCGCCTCCTATGCTGACCAATCTCCGTTGCGGGTGACGCGAACAAAATAAGCCTCATATCCTATTTGGAAGTTAAATCACTTTAAAATTCGTGAAAATCTTTACCCGCGAACAGCTCTGAGCAAAGCTGCGGTGTAATATGTCCGATATACAAGGATTTGTGGCGTCTTGTGATGTGTAATCTGGCAAAATACGAAAATATTACAATCCATTCCATGAAAATCGACAGTCAAAGTCGGCTGCTCATTATTATTCTTGACATATTTCTATCACTAGAGGGAGTTTTCATATTATGAGCCAAAGAGATTCGATCATACACGTATGTCCTCCGTAGGAGGACTAGAGGGCCACTAAAATCGTGACCTTTGACATTTCATAGGTTTTGCATTGGATGCATTATGGGGGTTTTGTCCGATTTGAACGACGGTTTTGGAGGGTCAATGAATATTCATGAGCAATGACGTAAAAAATACGCCAACTACTGTTTGTTGATTGGCCATCGACAAAATGTTTTATGTATTAGGTCATGCATAAAACATTTTTTGCATTCCCAGAATTCCCTACGATTTGGGCAAGAAAATGACGAAAAATGGCGGTTGTATGAACTGCGACTTTGAAGTTTTTCAATTACGAACAATGAAACATTTTTCTTGTAAGTGAATTTCTATTATCATAGAAGTTTGTCAAATACATCTCAGTTGAGCAGAAAATCTTCAGGCGAACATCGACATCAAAGTGATATACGGATACCAAAAAAAGTAAGTAAAGATCCATTTTGTGTGAAGATCTCTGAAATGATTGTGATGTGTTCGTCGTTGCAGTGAGGGGCTCTCTGCATTGACACAACGTATTATTCCCTATCCCATCCCTTTCTTTTGTCTTACCAAGAATATTAACTGATTGAATTAACTCTAATTTAAGTCGTCGACGGTAATATTTTTAGAAATAATCAGGAGTTTACCGTAGGTTATTTCATTACAGCACATCTCATAATTTTAAGCTAAGTTCACAGCTTGATTACCGATAGTAATCAATGGTAGATGTAGACCTGTTGTAGACTGCGCAAATGGCTCATTGCTAGTCCAAGCCGATGCGATTTCGTCGAGCGGTTTATGATTTTCAATTCGCCGGTGCTAGCCGGCTGTAACACTCCACCAAGAAGCGACTGCGTTTCCTGAGCTGGCGCGGATATAACTTTACAGTGTAGGCTACACTTTAGTCTTACTGTAAAGCCTAGGCTAGTATTCATAGCACAGTCTAGCCTGAATTTTCTGTCTCTTTCGTTCGTTAGCCTCTGATTTGGGTAGAGTCGGCTCCTCTCTTTTAGCCAACCCTACCCAAATCAGAGGCTAACAAACGAAAGAGACGGAAATTCAGGCTAATTAAGGCATAGAGTCTAGGTCTATATCTATAGATCTAGATAGACTAGGCCCTGGCCTAGGCTAGGGTCTAGTCTAGATCTAGTCATGCTAGTGTGGCATTATGTATCCAGGTCCAGCACTTAGTTCGGATGTAGGCTAGATCTAGATAGACTAGACAAGAACAAAAAAACAAAAAAGGTGTCTCCCCCCCCCCCCCCCCTCCCCACCTCCCACTTCCCCTGATTTCGCTCTTAGGCCTATGTCATTGTGCCTTGTTTGAAATAATTAGTTTTTTTTTTCAGGATTTTATGCCACCCCTTAGTTTTATGTTGGTGAGAATTCTGGATCCAACCCTACATATGACATGGATATTTCTTTCTCTAAAGGACATGAACAAAGTTATAAACTGATAACTAATGCATGCATTTGATATTAGCAGGAACCTTACTAAGTTTCTGTTTTCTTTTAATTGTAGATGCTATGGAACAAAGAAGCAGATAATGATCACAGAAGTGCAACAAAGAGCACCAGGACCTGATCAACAAATGTATCTAATCAGGAACAGGACACCTAAGACCTAAGTTGAACTTTGGCAAGGTATGTTTGTATGAAGTTCGAAAATATTCAGGCTGTATAATCTAAGCCCATGCGAACACCACACTCGACTTGGACTATACAAAGATTTGGGGAACTGTCATCTTGTGTTGCATTATATCTTGTAATTCTCATTTATTCTCTAGCTTTTTATTTCGGTGACAAACTATGGTGTTGCTACAGTTTATTCTCTCAGCATATTAAAAGATGTACTCAAAGGTACTTTTCCTAAATATTACATTATATCTAACAAACTTTTGTTCACAAAAGTCTAGCAAATAATAACTTAAAATGAATTGGAAATTACTTTTAAAATAATTGGAAATAAATTTAAACCTTTACTCTTCTCTTCAAAAAAGGCCCTATCAGATAGACATAAGTTTATCATTTTTTAATAAAATTAAAATGCAAGACCTAAAAAAAGTGGGGAGGTACTATTTTTGAAAATCCAATATAATGCAGCAGTTTTAATCTTATTTGATTTCTCCTCTCTTTTTGTTTTTTATTATGCAGGTTGTCCCATGCAGAAGCTTTGATTCCCAGGCTTCTTTTGTACAAGTCCCTTGTCTATCCTCATCTGTTCCGGTGTCTGGGATCCCTACAACATCTCAGATGTCCAGGACGCTACTTCACAATGGGGACCACAAGAGAACCAGCAGTTTGACTGAGATGATCAGCACCTTTTAGTTGCCTACTATATCTACAACTACAAGGCACTCTGCAAGAAGACTGGGAATGGTGCACAAGATAGTCAATGGTCTCTTCGCTCTCCCTTGAAAATTTCCCCACTGCACTACTTATAGCTACTTGCGCCCTCTATATAGCAAACAATGCCTAATCGGTGCCTACTGGTCTCCCATGATCCTCTTTTTCTTATATTAATTGAGAGCTGATTTGATGAGATAACCACCTGTCAGTGACCTTGCAGGGTGGTCTAATCCCCCTGGCCAAACTAGTACAGACGGGCTTTAACAAATCACGAGCAGGAAGTACCATGACATGACCCTCCAGTTGCACCAAGCCAGAAGCGACATAGACAAGTTTGTATTTGCCCAACACTCTGTCCCAAAGTTAATGGAACTGACTTCCAGCAAATATAGTGCATGCTGACAGTCCAGCTGCCAGGGACTACTTCTGAGGCATCTACTCTCCTTATCCCTCTTAAAAACAGTCTGTCTTCCTCACACCACTTGTAATCTTTAGTATTAGTTCATCTTCGTGATAGGCTACAACGCCTTTTGAAGATTACCAGAAGAATAAGAAGAAGATATATCGAGGATCATGAAAGTAATCATATCTTCTTTTAAATGCGTGTACATGGAATATAGTTTTTTGATATTTAATCTTAAGTCAAGTTCTGACAAAAATATTAGAGATGCTGAACTGGATAGTAAATTGAAGGGGGGGGGGGGGTATAAAATGATGTAGTTCAATAGTAATACTGTAGTAATATAATTATACACTGTCGCTCATAAAGTTGGAATACTTTTGTTTTACCCCAATTTATGGAATTATTTTAAAATAATTTAAAAATAATAGATCTAGATAATAGTATACATTCTCAGATCTTATTTTTAAATTATTTATAAAATAATTCCATAAATTGGGGTAAAACAAAATATTCCAACTAATAGTAACAATAAAGACAATGATCATGATAATAGTAGTAATAAAATGATAATACAGGTAGTAGTAAAATCAACAACAATAATGTCCAATGTCAGATAAAGTACTCATAAAACTCAGTATATACCTGTTCTTTACATAATGAAATAGCATGTTGATATTATTGAATATTTTTTTCAAAATCTACAGTAAACTTTTACAACTGAAAAATTTGAATTCAAGAGACAGCCCCCCCCCCCCCCCCATCCATTTGCCATCCTTTTTGTTAATGTCATGTTGGATTTAAAAAGATCTTTATAGAAACAAAATATGTTCATAAATGAGTTCATAAATGTTAATAAATTAGTTGATACTGCTTAATTCTGTTCTTTTCATTTTCTTATTTTGTGAAATATATGTGATGATGCTGGTGATTATGATGATGATGTAGGCACTCTGTAATGATAATGCTGTATGACTGAGGTGAGATGGGGTCTGATGCAGTCTTGTGTAGAATTGAGTATGGTGTTCGACCTTTTGATGTTTGTTTATATCTGGTATCAGCGAGATAGATTTAACCATCGTTCCTAATGAGAGAGAAAGCGGAAAAGTAACAAGAGAGTGGGCAAGACTAATGTATAAATACAGTATAAAAAATGGTTTACAATAAAGATGAGGGGGGGGGGGGTTAAATAAAGAATAAGTCAATGCCAAAATGATGAAAGCATAGGTAATTGGGGTGTGGATGGGGGAGGGAGGTTAATAGAGCCTATGGAAATGTCA